AGTAAGACAGTCGGCCAAAAGGTCGGACAATCGGTCGGTCAGTAAGACAGTCGGCCAAAAGGTTGGACAATCGGTCAGTCAGTAAGGCAGTCCGCCAAAAGGTCGGACAATCGGTCGGTCAGTAAGACAGTCGGTCAAAGAGTCGGACAATGGGTCGGTCAGTAAGACAGTCGGTCAAAGAGTCGGACAATGGGTCAGTCAGTAAGACAGTCGGTCCATTTTATTGTGTTTATTGATAACCTACCGGGGGAAAAAAAAAAATGTTATAAATACGCGAGGAACTGAACACTGTCGTGAGGGTTTTTGATTTAGCGCGCGGGGTTCCTGTGTACGCAAAAAGCGCGCGAAAAAGTTGTCTCACGGCGCTCGCGCCCGCGCCGCTTTAGGTGACGTCGCGGACACGGTTCATCGATGGCACACTCCACGGCTGGAAACCGAGCTACGACCCGTCAATTATAACTTGACCTGCGAAGTGTTCTCCGCGAAGAGAATCAATTGCAAACATTCCAAGAGTTTGTAAGCTTTTCAAGAAGAAGCGAGAAAGTTGAAGAGTGAAGAACTAGAGGTTTTGAGTAGTGAGATGAAGCGCTTGAAGGATAGCTTTCAGTGACTATGTTTGACGATGTCATACCTGACAGTTCAACTTATCTCCATCTTTATAAGAGATTTAGATATTATTGCGGTTTATTATGGGTTGTGTTGTAAAGGCGGTCGTTCAAAATAAACAAACTATCACAACCTCCTTGAGCGTAATATGTATTGTTTCCCTTTGTTTCTAAAATTGGTCTGATGATTGGGTGCGGGCGGAAACAGTGGATTTATTTATTTAAGTCTACAAATTTGAAAAAAAAAATTTTATTGCTTTCGTTGTCTTATGATATTGTATGCGCATTTGATCATATCCATATGTTAAAGTTGCGTTTTATTAAGCATTATTATTATTATCGTCACCATAGTCATCACTATCACGTATCATCATCATCACTATCATCGCCTCATTATCAACACCAACATCATCATTAAATCATTATCACCATTATCATCACTATCATCATCACCATCATCACCATCATAATCATTATCACCACCATCATCATCTCCATCATAACCACCATCATTATCACCATCATCACCACCACTATCATCCTCAACGCCATCTTTAGACCATAACATTACATCCGGTAGGTCTGCGTACGCTGCTCTAACCTCATCGACTACAAATGTGTCACTAGATAATCGTTATCATTATACTAATATATATTATGTCCATTTTCTGCCTAATTTTCTGCCTTCGGTTGCTAAGGGTTTTCCGATGTCCGTCAGTCTATTCGTGGTTCCCTGCGTGGGACGTGTCCTGAATGACAAAATGAGATGATCTCGAATATATCATCACGACTGTTGTAGTAACAGCATTCTGAATCTCCTTCATCCTCCAGAACAATATTATAGGATTGATGAGAGAATTGGTAAAAATGAGAACAACAGACAAGCTCTCTGCACCCCAGATAGCTGCGGACTCCCCTAGTATCCCAACAGACACCGCGGTACATAGGTAGGGTAAATAACACAGGTTGAAGGCGAGGAAGATGTACAACATGGTATACATGGATTTCTCGTATCGCCGAGTGTTGGTCGAGGGTTGTCCTTTAATATCATTATTCAAACAGTTTTGAACCTTTCGCTTCTGATTCCTTAAGGTTAGAAATCCTTTGACGTAACAGAACGTTGTTATGACAACGCAAGATACCATAACACTTGCTGCTAGCCTGAAGCAAAATGACTTTGGTAGAAACAGATTAGTAGAATAAAGGCAGCCGGATGTGACCCATATTGCTATGATTATCCATACCACCCTCGTATTAGTGACTATTGTTCGGTATTTGGTCCCTGAATGGACCACGAGGTACCTATCAACTGCTATGGCAGTGAGAGTAAAGAAAGACACACTACCTAGAGCGCCTCCGAGAAGATACATTATCATCCCTGAACGACAGTACATCCCAAACGAGTGTTGTAGCTCTGCTATCTTCTTGGTCAAATACACTGGTTCAATCACCATGCCAACCAGAACATCTGATATGGCCAGACTGTAGAGAAGTTTAGTGCATGGCTTGTTGAGCTGTGGAGACCAGTACAAGGAGATGATCAAGAGAATATTCAAGACTATTGTTGGTAGAATAAGTATGGCGTCGAGAGATCCTGCCATGATATAGATGTGTTTGACTTGGTCAATGTCTTCAGTGATGAAATTCAGAAAGTAACACCGCTGGACCAATGAATCGTTGTCACCCATTTGTGACGTGATGAAGAACAATCTGCAATCAAAGGAATAGGCTCGTTAATAAAATACTCTGTACAACTTCTACTCCGCAAGTTTTGAGGCAAATTGTTGAGTGAAACATTTTATTGTCATGACTTTATCATAACTCCCATACATTCCCTTATAAACCATACACAGGAACCTTGTTTGGGCTGCCTGTGGTATGCAACCTGTTATATTGTTTCAGGATAAACTAGTCAAACTAGTCGATCCTGTAAAACCGGTCACTCTTGTCTGACCTTGTCTGACAATCAAGTTCTTGCATTCAAGAAGTGACGTACTTTTGAAATTCAATATTTGAAAAGCGAGTTTCGTTTAGACTTCAGTTCAAATACTCTGTTCATTAATTATAAGAGCTAGTGAATCTAGTAAAATAAAACGAAAAGAAAATTGATAAAGCTGAATGGCTCGGTCGCTGAGGATTCATGACGTAAGCAACAAGTTTATAAAAATACGAAACAATTTCAAATTAAGTTACGATTTTGAATTATGATAAAGAAGAATTTTCAGTGGAGCTAAAATGGGTTAATTCCCTAAAGGCCGGTTTAGACGGTACGATTTTCGCCTACAACTATCGTATACAACACGCGTGTAAATCAAGCATACAACTCGCCTACGACAGACGCGAGCGTGTTGTATACGATAGTTGTAGGCGAAAATCGTACCGTCTAAACCGGCCTTGAGATATGTATAATTTTAAAGACCTGCGACTTTTCCTGAAATAGCCTGACTGAGAGAATTCTTTTTATTTTTTTTCTTTACTGAAATTTTTAAAAGTCAACAAAACGCAAGATATTTGAACAGTCTCAGTTTTTAGACAGATTTTAACAGCTTCGGTTTCGTTAGGTAAACTCTGGACTGAACAGGAAGCCTTTAGATTTCAATCAGATTAAGCCGTTATTATCCCCTCCAAAACCACAATAGTAAGAGAAATTCTTTTCAAATATACTATATATGATTGTCATAACGTGAAATTCTAAGACCACATGGATCGTATTTTCTAGGAAAAATTTCCGAGACTTTATTTCTTTAGGAAATTGATTTTAAAAAGTTAGTATTATCATAAATAGTTTTCTGAAATCTGATAAAATCACATCAGGAAAATGCTTATGTTATTGGACCTAAATATGGGATTTAAAGATATAGGAAAAGAAGTGATGTGCCACTAAGGGCACGATTACACGGAGCAATTTTTTTCTTTCACAACGGCGTGCGACTCAAGTTGCATGGGACATTGCAACGTGTAACATACAGCGCAATATTAAAGACAAATGTTGCGAGATAAGTTGCAGCAATCGTTGCAAAAGGTGGAATTCGTTTCTACTTTTGGCAACGACTGAGTGTCCGTTGCACTGCGTAAACACTCTTGCGACTTATGTCCGCGCTGTTGCAGAGAAAATTGCTCCGTGAAATCGCGCCTTAACTAATCACCTATTTTTCTGCAAACTACTTCAGTTTTTCTCATAAAGAGTACTTAAAACATTAATTAGGGGATAGGCATCTTGATATAATCGAATTAATGGTGGTTTTTAGGTTTGATGATAGCACATAAATCATAGCCAGTTGCTCTAGCGTTGATATTAATTTTCGAATTTTGGGAGTTTTTTCGGGCTTACTCTGAACTGAATTGTCAGGGAAAATCTTAAGGTTTACTGAGAGAGGGAAAGAAGTAAAGATATCGATAAAGAAAGAAGGAAGGAAGGAAGGAAGGAAAAAAAGACCAAAGTAATATCTTAACGGGTTACCTCTTTTTTCTGTTAGAAGTCAGTCCTTCGTTTAGAGATTGTCAAATTCAGCCAAATACTCTTACAAAACAAGAAAACTCGTCTATTTGTACCTGTCAGCCGTCTCGACTTACCACCAACCTTATTGGTCATTCGTTGTCAAGGCCTTCAGTGTTGCTAGGAAGGTGTTGTTTTTTTTKTTTTTTTGCTTTTACAACCTAATCTGCCAAGTGCGGTTTGATATAAAAACGTAGCAAACGATTGTGGTTACTGATAATGCATTTTATCATAAAACATTCTTCATAATTTTCCAATAAAGGGTATTTGGCGTATATAACAGCTGTGCACTAGCGAAACCACAGAACTACCAGGTTTCGGTTGGGTTTCCTGAGAAGAAGTTTTGGGTGTGACGTCACCCATGAAAAAACGATTTCCGGATACAAAAAGAAAAGCAGTTCTATCAAGATAAATTGCTTACTTTATCCTCATGAGAGGATTTATTGTCCAAAGGTCTAATCGTTTCACTCTAGCTTGACTAGGACAGTTAGCGAACGAAGTCAAAGTGATTATTGGTGACAGAGCCGAGCATCTTTGTTTTAGCCATAATCTGAGTCATGAAAAAACAGGAAAACAAAACGAAATTCTGTATTAAAAAAACGTCTTAGTATTATGTCCGCTCTGACAACCTTTGGTAAACGTCATAATGAAATTTTGAGCAGTGATTATTGTCATAGAATCATTGGTCGCTCGACAAATCACAGCGCGCGAAACTCTCTAAATCTATAATTATATTAACCGGTATTATTTTGTTCATTGTTCTTCCATATGCTCACAACATGTTCACCTTGGCTTTTTACTCAAACAGGAACAGCATAGCAACTTTATTAACTAATTTCAATCAATCAATCAATAACTCTATATATCCTACAAAGATGGATCAGCTGGAGGGCTGGAGAGACAACCAGCTGGCATAAAAAAAACCCATGTGTAGCAATAGAGTGCTCACACTAAATCCGTGAAACAAATACTAATTTTTAGCACTAAATAGTAATATTAAACAATAGAAAACAAAGTATTCTGTATGAAATAGTACTAATTAGTACTATTTAATGTTTACGGTTTTAGTGCGTGCACTCTATATAATAAAATTCTTTATGTAAAAAATACAATATAATTTAAGCTTATGAATATATACAAAATTTTCAAATATCTAACTTAGTATTAAAAATAATACAAGTATTAATATTACTGCTACATCTCTTGATAAATATATCTATGAACAATTAAATTAATTGAACAAGCTACACAACTAAGATATGATAAAGTTACTCGCAAATGATAGAAAAGAAAGAATAAAAATAAAAAACAACAAAAAAGTAAAAAAATAAAACAAAGTTAAGGTAATGACCAGCGATGGGACGTGATACCTAGAAGCTTGAAATGATTAAAAAGTTCCTTTTTAAAGTTCTGCAACGATGTAATGTCGCGTATTTCGTTCTTTGGAAGAATCTGTTGCTGCTGAGTATTGAAAAGGTGTTTGCCCCATATCTGTTTTGGCCTTGTGAAGGTGCAATACTGTTTTATCACGTACTGTTTTATTTTTCGTACATACAAGCCCTAAACTTTAAATAGCCTACTAATTGAGTGGGACAATTAATGAATCATTGTTTTATCGAATATAGAGTAGATCAGTTGGTAAGGTACTATGACGCGGGACGGAAATGACGTCATCCTAACTATAAGCCAATTACAGCGCAATAAATCATGTAATTTCAATATAAAGACGATCTTTTTCAAAATTTTTGATCGAAACAAAAAAGATTTGCGAAGATTAACAGCTTCAAAACTCTAGGGCGGGCCTCGTAGTTTTGCCTCGAAATTTGAAAACAATATTGTATAAGTTGTGACGTATTTCCGGGTCCAGCTAGTAACAAAACCGCTAAAATAAAGCAATCAACTTTCTCAAGGATTTAACTTTCATATGAAACAATGGACATCATTGATGATACGGCGGCCATCTTGCAAGGTGGCATAATATAATGAATACGACGTAAAATATGTAGAGTTTCATATGTTTGTCTTTCTTTAAGCAGCTTGTTCTATAAAAAATAACCAAAACATCGTAATATTTTTATGCACAGGTTTAAAGCTTATTTGAAAATTTGAAAATATTTTAAATCGAAGCTTTTTATCATTTTTTAAAAAACGTTTTTGACGGGTGACGGCGTTTGGGCTTCCTGTGGTGAAGTTTAAGTAACAGAAAACACAGGAAACCCAAATTGCGTCAATTGTAAGCTCGTTTTTTTCTCCAATGCTAAACGAGTTCAGAATATTCCATATGCTTACATATGACACATCTATAGATCTACCACATAACTCAGTTTTATCGAAAAAGGAACTTAAAAGTACCCGAAATAAGGAAAATGCTAAAACAGCTATACCGCTGACCAAACCTTATTTTCATCAAAACTTATGACCTCCATAAAATCTTCAATATAGTTCTAATCCAAAACATATCTTCAGAAACATGTTGACCTGGTCCTACGCTTTCTAAAGAAGTGTATTTTGTTTGGAAAAGCTTAATATTTCGATTTACGAAAATTTGGACCCACCGAAAAAACGCTTATTTAGAGATTCCAACTTCAAGCGGCTTGTTTTCTATGAAATAGAGCAAAAACTCGAAATATTTTTAGCCACAGATTTAAAGGTCCTTTGATACTTTTAGATACGTTAAAAATAATCTAAATAAAATTTTTCTTTCATTTTTTTATTGAGGGTTTTTTGACTGGCCGAGGTGTTTGGGCACCCTGTGGTGAAGTTTTAGTCAAGTTAACAGTACATGAACAAGCCCTTGGGAGCGAAATAATGTAAAAAATGCAATTATTTCGACGGATTTACGATGAATAATCGATATTCTTTCAATTTATTTTATTCGTTTCAAGATAAGTTAATTTTGGATTTAATGACACGGCTTAAAAACGCGTGCGCATGCGCGAAAATGCCAAAAACAAAATGGCGGACGCTATAGCAGTATTCGTGCTTCAAAAACCTGCGACTTTGAATAATTCTTACAGCTTACTGGCAGCCAAAATATCTAATTGATCAGTCAAAGTGTAATTTAAAAAGTACTTAGAGGGTGGCAGTGATGTTTAGAATGAGGTCAACATGATGGTTATC